GTCATGGATTGGTTTGATTTGGATTGGCTATCTACCCCTTTTCCAAATAGCTGTCAGTATTATAAAGATAGGGCTTTAGATTATCTGAGAAGGATGTGTAGACCAAACAGGCAAATTAACTGATATGTCTATAACAGATATAGACCAGTCATAGAAGCAAGTAAGTGTTTGGGGAAAAATATGCAACCTCACCATTAGCAATTAAAGAAACATATTTAAATAGTGAGAGATGCTTTTTTTGCCCATTAAATTATCAAAGATTAATGATAACAATCCATGCCATCACACTGCTGGGGAAAAGGATGTAAATTGGGACAAACTGGTCTGGAAAACAAATTTGCTATATGTATTAAGGACTTTTGTTTTTTGGGTTTTTTTGTTTTGTCAGCTGACTGGTACGAAGACCTTTAAAATGAACATAACCCATGACCTAATAATTCCGCTTCTAGGAATCTATTCTTTTTTTTTTTTTTTTTGTCCTTTTTGAGACCGGCTGCACCGCGCTCAGCCAGTGAGCGCTGTGAGCACACCGGTCATCCCTATATATGATCCGAACCCGCACCACAGGCTCGGCTCTCTAGGAATCTATTCTAAGGGACTGAATAATCAGAGATGTAGACAAGATTGGATATGTGAATATTTTGTAGTATTATTTATAATAAAAGCAAAAGTATAAGGCCGGCCCGTGTTTCACTCGGTAGAGTGTGGTGCTGATAACACCAAGGCCACGGGTTCGGATCCTATATAGGGATGGCCGGTTTGCTCACTGGCTGAGCGTGGTGCTGACAACACCAAGCCAAGGGTTAAGATCCCCTTACCGAACATCTTAAAAAAAAAAAAGAAAAAGTATAACAATAAATTACAGGAATGTTTAAGTAAATTGGTATACCCATATAATGAACATGCAGTCATTAAAAATCATGTTTTTGAAAAGTATTTAATGAATGAAAAGTTCTCGTAGTATAATGTTGAGTGAAAAAAGCAAGATATAATATTCTGTATATAGTATAGAAGAGAAAAAAATTGAGATTTGAGATGCTAGGAAGAAGCCAAAATCATAACAATCTTACAGTGGTTATATCTGAATGGTAAGATTATGAATTGTTTCATTTTTTATTGTCTTTATACTTTTTTTGCTTTTTTTTTTACATATTCTGAATGAGGATGAACTTAAACTTTTGTAATATAGTTTTGTATATAGTATAAAATTATAAATGTTATTTAAAATTTAGAGAAGTAGAGTAAAAGGGGAACTACCAATAGTAAAGCATATTTAAAATTTAAGTCAGTATGGTACTGGTATAAGAAGTAAATGTAGCATAAATAGGATAGAAACAGATCTTTGTGTGTATGAGAATTTAATATATGATAAAAGGATATTCATCAAATAGTAAAGGAAGGATTATACTGTAATTGATTTAGTTAACAGTGGTAACCAAGAGTGCTAGGCACTATGCTGAGTGCTTTTACATGTGTTTTTTAAAACATGCTTTTTCACCTTTACTTATTTCAAACTTTTTAGATGTAGGTAGTGCTATCCCCATTCTGGAGATGAGCAAACTAAATCCCAGAGGTCTAGGCAGTTGCTCAGAGTCACATAGAAAAGGACTAGTAGAACCTAGATTACAATGAAGGATGTCAGCCTCCAAGTTAGTATTCTTTGCCACTTCATTTTATGTATATAAAGTTATTAGCGAAGTGTCTAGAATATCAGAGGCCATTTAGTAAATATTATTAGTATGAGTAACTTATAATTTGCTGCATATATTATAGTAAAATATATAATGCTTGTATATAGTATATCTAATAATGTAACTACAACTAACAGTAAATAATAAAGATGTCACCCTGTCATTGAGATTGAGGAAGTTCCTTGCAAAATAAGTAACTGTATGTTTTCCAGAGAAAATCCCCAATGGAATCATATAATTCAAAAAATAGCACGATGAGCATCACTAAATATTGGTTGATTAATAATTAATTATTATTAATTCCTGCTATCCCATTTCGGTGTCTCTCATTCCTCTGACTCATTGGTCCCTACACCCTGTGTCTCATAATTTACTCAAGACTAGTTGAATAGCAGCAGTGGCCCAAAGATGGAGCTGGCATTTCCTTTTGAATATCCCAAAGTTGACTTATCTGTTCAGCAAACATTTATTGAACACTCACTCTACCATGCACTATACTAAGGTTAGAGAGATGTTTAAAATTGCAAATTAACATTAAAGTATAAACCAAACCAAATGAAAAACTCCAATCCCTAGGAAATTAAATGTTCCCTCCTCTATGGAGACTTCTGTGATTCTCACAGGTAAATTTAGTCAGTCTTTCCTTAGAGCACTCAGAACAATCTGTTCAACTTGTAAAATTAGACCCCTGTGCCAGTTAGTCTTTCTGTGAGCTTGCCTGTCTCCCACACTTGACTTCTTTAGGGATCAGTTTTTGACCCTTTGGGTCAGTTTTTCTTGCATAGCAGTGAGGATATGACTGGTACAATTCTGCTTTGGAGGATTTGTTTTTGTTGAGTTTTTGTTTTGTTTTGTTTTCTGTTGGGCATGACCTGATTGATGCATTCAGTCACTCCTCCAATAAATATTTATGAATACCTAGTCTATGTCATGTACCGTGCTAGATATTTCATAATAAATAAGGGATAATAAACAAAGACAAACAAGGGCAAACAAGCAAGTTATCAGACCTCATAGGAACTCACATGGGCACTTGAGAATATGTTTTCTTTGTACAAAATCAGCCAAGCACTTAAACCTTATTTATTTTATTTATTATTAAATTTTAAATTTATTATTAGCATATTCATTCTTTCAAATTGTGATATTTCTCTATGCCCTTTATCTGACCTATCACTTCCCAAACCCCCATTCCTCCCTCTCCCCATCTCTAGTATCCTTAGGTTTGTTTTCTTCTTCTGAAAGTTCAACATATTGTACCTTATTTATTGTATTATTCAAATCTTCTATGACTTTAAATGTCATAGTTTGATAGTGTTATATTAAAGTCTCCCACTGTAATTATATTTGGGTTCATTTCATTCTATAAAACAGAAAGGTTAAAAATAAAAGAATGGGCAAAAGTAAATCAAGGAACTACAAATAAAAAGAAAAACAATATTTCAGATAAAATACTCTTCAAGGCAAAAAAAAAGCATTTAAAAATATTTTATATTGATAAAAGTTATAAGCTATGAATTATGTACTAAATAATACATATAGCATCAAAAAGAATAAAATAGATCAGAAAGTATGAATAAATTTTCCAAGTGGTGAAAGTATCAGCAGGGAAAAGGGTAGAACGTGTTCTAGGCAGAGAAAAGTTTTGTGTGGCCTAGGAAGATCCCCTCTGGGGAGCCCAGTCATTTAGAATTTAGTTCCTAAAGAAGCAACAGGGTTTGCTGGCATGTACTGCAATCCCAGAATCATCCTAGAGTTCAGAGAATAATAGTTTAGGCTTGAAGAAAGAATAATGGTGATAGGGTTGCTGTGCTGTTGTGATCATTCTAGGTGAGGAAACAGCAGCTCAGAAAGGTTTCTGGGTCACTTAGCTAATAAATAGGAGGTTAGCGATTCCAAGCCAGGCTGTCTGGCTGCAGAACCCAGGTTCTTTCCAGGGTATCACACTGCCTCCTGGTAGTAGTAACTGGGCCAGGAACCCATCCTATGTGCCACTCAGAAAACTCCACCCCTTGCTTTGAATGCCAAGTTTCTGAAATCTTGCACAGCTCCAGGAATTATGTATGATCATTGTCTTGTGGGCCTTCAGGGAGCTAAGGAATAGACTTTTTACTCATGTATTTGAATTTTCATCTCTCTCTTCCTTTTTCTTCAATCTCAGTGTCTACAAAAGTAAAGCATATTCAATTTATGGACATTCATGTACTCATCAAGGAGTACTATTAATTTAATTAGTGGATTTCCTATCTTGGAGAATGGCGCCATGTCATCCAGCCATCTGCCCAAGCCAGAATTCTAGGAGTCTTAGACTCTTCCCTTCTCTTTACCCCCTTTCCATAAAATCAATGACCAAGTCCTATGGATTTATCTTCTTTTTTTTTTTTTTTTTTTTTTTAAAGATGACTGGTAAGGGGATCTTAACCCTTGACTTGGTGTTGTCAGCACCACGCTCACCCAGTGAGCTAACCAGCCATCCCTATATGGGATCCAAACCTGTGGCCTTGGGGTTATCAGCACCGCACTCTCCCGAGTGAGCCACAGGCCGGCCCCTGGATTTATCTTCTTAATAGCTCTTGTCTTTGTCCCCTGGCTCTCTCCATCCTCTCAGCCAGTGCCTTTGTTCAGTGCCTCTTTGGCCTCAGATTGCTGTAGTTGCCTCCTAACTGATATCCGTGCCTCTTGTCTCTTCTCTGATCCATTCAATATCAAACCAGTCAATATCACTCCCTTGCTGTCAATCCTTAAATGTGTTCCTACAATTTCAGGATAAAGGTCCAAATTCCTTAATCCTGTTTTTGAGACCCTTCATGATCTGACCTACTTTCTGATCTCATCTCTTGTCACTCCAAACATGTTTAGCACCAGCAATACAGAATGTTGTACATCGTGCTGAACCATACCTCCATGCCTTCACACATACTTTTCTCACAACCTGGAACCTCCTTTCTCCACCTTTTGTCTCACTAATTTCTACAGGCCTTTTGAAACTCAGCTTCTGCTGAATTGTTTTCAGGATGCCCTCCCACCTCTTAGAGTCCTGCCCCTCTTCTGTGCTCTTATAGCACCCTGTGCATTCCTCTATCTTGGTACTTAACATCCTGTCCTGTCTTAGCTGACGTGCATGCCTGTCTCCTCTGCCACTCAGACTGCAAGTAACCAAAGGCAGAGATTTTTTTTTACTTTATTCAGTTGGAATTGCCAAAACCTAGTCTAGGGCTGGCCCATGTTAGGTTCTTAGCTTAATAAGTATTTGTGAGATGAATAAATGATCTCTTGCGGCCTAATAATGATGCTTTCTTTTTTTTTTAGGTACATGGTTCAGTGGCCCGGTGGCCGAATCCTGCATCGCCACGAACTAGACACCTTCCTTGCACAGGCAGTGTCTACCCAACTTTATGAACCAGATCAACTCCAAGAGCTAAAGGTGATTTGATCCACCCTCATTTAAATTCTTTATTTAATAAGGTCATAGCTTTACTCTAGGTCTTTTTCTTGGAGCTAGGGAGAAGAGTAAGTTCTCCACGTAAGTGTTTGATTTACTTTAGCCAAATATTTACGTCTGTTAGTAAAACTAAGAGGTGCCTGCTACATACTTATGGGTGAGAATGGACAGAAAAGATGGATATTGTTATAAGGCAAATAAATCATGGCCCATAGACCGTGGTAAAGCTTCTGACTCTTACAAGATACACTGCAGGGGATTTATCCTGGTGTGCCCTGCTTGTCTCTGAGTAAATGTCCACCTCCTTTTAATAATATATATTGGATATTAGGAGGAAGTATAAAAAAGCATAAGGAAGAAAATAAATCCACCATATAACTGAAGGCAGTAGAACATGGTGCAGTATAGATGGTAGACTCTGAAGCCAGGCTGCCTTGGCTTTGAATACTGGCTTCATTATGTCGTAGCTATATGACCTTGAGTAGGTTACTTAACCTCTCTAGCTTCAGTTTCTTTACTTGTAGGATTGTGAGGATAAAATAATTGTGAGGTAAAATAACCCATGTAAAACACTTAGAACAGTGTCTCTCATATTTTAAGTACAATGTACTTAGCTGTTAATGCAGGACGCCCGTCCCCTGGCTTTAGTAGCCATGATCCTTTGAGGACCTAGGATAAACTAGAAGAAGATCAAGTTAAATAAGACCTGCGAAATCTTAATTTAAGTGAGGTGAACTAAGGGAAAGATGAAACAGTCTAAGACAAACAATGAACCATTACTTTTTGCAGTAAATGTAGTAATGATTGGTCCTAGATCAGCTACTGATGCCAGGCCACGCCTAGGAAGGGACCTGCAAATAAGTTCCCCTTTTCCTGTTGAAGCCATCTAATATATCAACTTGAAATAACCACAACATTTTGATGTTGTCTTTCAGTCTTTTGTCATGTGATTTTACATAGTTGAGATGTTATTTATGTAATTACATATAGTGTTTTTTTTCACTTAACATAGCACATATTTTGTGTCTTAAAAAAAATTTTTTTTTAATGTTTTGTTTTTATTGGTTATGAATATTCATGGGGTACAAAGCAAATTGTCACCATTCGTGCCTAAGATGCGATGGCCAGATCCATACTGGCAGCATGTCCATTACCACAAATTGTGATTATACCCCGTGTCCCCCACCCAATTATCCCCAACCTCCCTCCCCATCTCCCTTTCCCCCACTCCACTTTGTATCCCTAGGTATGTTCTCTCCCTCTGCAAGTCCAACACACCACTGTGGTCTTTCTTTCCTTTCTTCCTTATCTCTTAGCTCCCCCTTAATGTGTGAGTACATGCAGTATTTATCCCTCTGTGCTTTGCTTATTTCACTCAACATAAGTTTCTCCAAGCTCATCCATGTTGTTCAAATGGTAGAATTTCATTCTTTTTTATGGAAGAGTAGTATTCCATGGTGTATATATACCACAGTTTCCTTATCCAGTCATCCATTGATGGACATTTAGGTTGGTTCCATATCTTGGCTATTGTGAACAGAGCTGCAATAACCATGGGAGTGCAGGTATCCATTCAACATGATGATTTCCATTCGTTTGGGTATATACCCAGAAGTAAGTCTGCTGGATCATATGGAGGATCTATCTGTAGTTGTTTGAGAAACCTCCATACTGGTTTCCATAGTGGTTGTACTAGTTTACAGTCCCACCAATAGTGTAGGAGTGTTCCTTAACAGTGTAAGAGTGTTCCCTTAAGCGTTTTCTATGTCTTAAAAAATTTTAGTAAATACTTTTTTTTGGTGGCTAGCTGAGTAAATAATATTTTATCATATGAATGTATCATTTAAATATTATAATGTTGGCCATTTAGATTGTTTCCAGTTTTCCACTATTATGTATAATGTTATAATTAACATCTTTATGCATAGAGCTTTTTTCACATCTCTCTTTCCTTAGAATAGATTCTTAAAAGTAGAATTTCTGGGGCCAGCCTGTGGGTCACTCAGGAGAGTGTGGTTCAGATAACACCAAGGCCACAAGTTTGGATCCCATATAGGGATGGCCAGTTAGCTCATTGGGAGAGCTAACCTTGACAACACCAAGTCAAGGGTTAAGATCCCCTTAGCAGTCATCTTTAAAAAAAAGTAGAATTTCTGAGTGAACAAATATGAACTTTTCAAGGTTCTCGATATATATTGCTTAATCGTAATTCCTAATCAGTTTTACATGAGTGCCCATTTATTTCAGTGCATCCTCATCAGTATTGAGTGTTCTTTCTGTCTTTACTTTTTGAGTTTTTTCTAATTTGGGGGTGAAAAAAACATCTCAAGTTGGTGTCTTTTTTTTTTTTTTTTTTTTTTTTTTTTTAAAAGGATGACCGGTAAGGGGATCTCAACCCTTG